TATTATTATTACTATTATTATTATTATTATTATTACTACCATTTAGATATGCATAATGATCACATTCATCATAGGGAATGTGCACCTGTACCCGATATAAAGAAGTTGTTTACCAAGGCCTACAATGCAGCTTCAGATCATTAATCTCTCCTTACTTCTTCTATTCTTGTGCAAAAATGACTTCTTCCTTTCATGATCATGTCTCCAGCTAAGCAGCTGTGTCAATCACTGAATCCTAAGCTTCCGCTTTCTCGCACTGTGCTTTCGTAATTCCAAACTATTTCACTAGTGTCTTACTCCTTCCCCTCTCTGATGACTCCCTTCCTTGGCATGTAAATACGAGCAAATTCTCTTCCATCTTTGAAAGACACAGAGACAAAACCAGCCTGCTCCTCACTGTAAAGCTGCCCTCTCAGTCTTTCCACTCCTCCATGCCACGAGGGCTAACCTTGCTCATAGTCTTTGTCAACTTTACCCGCTTCCTGCATTTCACTGCTGAACCCACCATGTAATCACCACCAGTCCCCCCAAACTATTCTTGCCAATGTGTCTATGACCAGTTATTTGCTAAAAACAAAAGCTTCTCTTCAGCCCCTTTCTCAGTTCCACTGGGATTTGCTCACCACACCCTGATCTTGAAACCCCTTTCCCTAGGTAGCAGACTCTACCCACTGTTGCTGTTCCAATCCACTCATGACTCTCTTTTAAATCAGCATTAGTACATACGAATTTCAAAAGCCTGTGTATGTAATAAATATATAGATAGTGTATATTTGTCAATTAAACAAATAAAGTAAAGCTACCAGTAATCCCTAGGATGGCATCCTTGGCCCAATTCTCAATGGAACCAATTTGCCCAACAGTCACCACACTGGTTAGAACAGGAATCTACTCACATGAACAGCTTCTTCTCAAGCATGAAGATCTCCCCAGCTGACACGCTGCTGAAACACTGAAAGACTGTCAGTGTGAAGAGCACTGAGGCTCTGCCAGGTGAAAACAAGAACAAGAACACCACAGTGAATTCACCAAACACCATCAGGCCGATTTTCTACCTGCAGAACTCTTTTCATGAAGAATATTACATTAAACAAATTATTTAAACTTTTCTTTACAAAAGCTGGAATTAGTCTGGTTACAAGTGAGAGGGGAGTCAGCACCCCATAGGCTCTCTCCTCCATCTCTGTCTCTACAGCTTAGCTGGACCCCTGTGAGTCCATAGTACAGCACATTTTAACATTTATGGTCTAGCTTGCTGTGAAATAAGTTTTGTGTTCCCCTAAAATTTATAAGTTGAAACAACAGTCCTTGGGAGGAAGGCTTTGGGAGCTAATTAGGTTTAGAAGAGGTCATGAGACTAAAGCTCCAAGATGAGATTAGTGTCCTTATGAGAGGAAGGAACGCCAGACTGTGTCATGAGACGGCATAGAGGGACGTGGCCATCTGCAGCCAGGACAGGGCCTTCACAGGAAGCTGATCCTGCTGGGTCAGAACCTTGACTATATTTTCTTTATCCTTTTATTAGCTGATAGACACTTAGTCTGATTCCTTGGTTTGGCTATTATGAACAGTGTTGCAATGAACATAGAAATGCACATAAACTGATTTCAAATATTTTGGGTAAATACACAGAAATGAGATGAATGAATTCAAGTATTTCAAGCCCCCATTTCGTAATTTTTTTAGCTATCACCTCAAACCTCCCGATAAAAGACAAAGGAGCTGCTGATAAAAGGCAAAGGATCTCAGAGTCTACAAAGGATTTAAACTCAGTTTCTTAGTTACACAGGTTAGAGAAATGGCAAAGAGAGTGCTGGGTCCTCAAAGAAGAGCACTAAACCGCTGCCTTCAAACGCTGAAGTACTGACATTCAACCCTAAAGAAAAAGTTTTTTAGAAATGGTTCCAGACGTGGCACTGAGACACTTCTCTCTAATCAAAATAATCAATCACTCCTTTCCCCACATGGCTTAGATAAATTACACACAGAGGCCACTTCCACACATTTCAAATTAGGTTTTTAAAAATGGTAGCAAACTAAATAAAAAAATACATATTAAAATAACTATTACTATGGGTCAATATAAGGGAGCCTAACTGTGTTCACTTAAATCATAGCCCTCTTTGCTTAACAGGGAGTTCACCAGTGGTTCCTAGGGTTTGTCAAAGTACAGTTGAAATCTGATGCCCACTGTTGTCAGTGAATTTATTACTATAGCTATGGAAACACAGTATGGCTGGCAATTTGTTTTCTCTCTATGATGGTATCTAGATGTCTGGGGGTCATAATACTGTGGCTTGCTCCTGAAAAATGAGAGCACTGGGCCAATGAGTTTGCAAATCCCATTACAGAACAAAACAGAAACATGAAATATGAAAAGACAAGGCAACAAAATGTCCCCAAAAGCTCACAATTCTCTACATATCATTTCAAGGGGTAATGAAAGGGAAAAAAATCATAAAATACACAGCAGATAGATTTGAAAGGCTACTAATGGGGATAAACCAGTTCATTAAGATACCTGGTGAATTTAAAGAAACTATAACTAATAACATAATGACCCTAATCAAACAAATTCTCAGTGAATCTAGAGAAGACACTGATAAACAGCTTGTGGAACTAAAAGGCGAGATGCAAAACATGAATGCTCAACACAGAAAAGAATGGGAATCATTAAGAAAGGTGCAAAACAGAAACCCAGCCTAAAAACACGATTGAAATAATGGGGAGAAGAAATGACCAATGTGAAGGCCAAGTGAATGAATTATAAAGATTAGAGCAGAAATTAAGGAAATGGAGACTAAAAATTAGTATAAAGAATCCATGAATCAAAGAGCTGGTTCTTTGAAAGAATAAACAAAATTGACAAACACTTAGTTAATGTTACCAAAAAAGAGGGGGGGACACAAATTAATGCAATTAGAAATGTAAAAGGTGAAAGCACAACAGACACTGCCGAAACTGAGAAAATTATTAGCAACTGTTTCTCAAACTTATATGCCATACAATTGGAGAACTCAGAAGAAATGGAGAGATTCCTAGATACATATGAACTGCCACAATTGAACCAAGAAGACTCAAAAATCCTGAATAGTCCAATAACAGGCAATAAAATTGAAGCAATAATAATTAAAAAAAAAAACAACTATGAACTAAGAAAAGTCCAAGGCTTTATAAATTCACTGACAAAGTCTATGAAGTTTCCAGGAAAGATCTAACACCAATACTCCTCAAACTTTCTAATGAAATCCAGAGATTAGGAGTACTTCCAAAATGACATTTGGAAGCCAATATTATCTTGAATCCAAAACCAGACAAAGGTCTAACCAAAAAAAGAGAACTACAAGCCAGTTTCTCTAATGAACACAGAAGCAAAAATCTTTAACAAGATACTGGCAAACAGATTACAACAAATCATCTAAAAGATCATACATCATGATGAAGTAGGCTTCATTCCAGAGACAGTTCAGTGCAAGCAAATCAATAAGTGTAATTCATCACATAAACAGAAGCAAAGACAAAAGAACACATGATCCATTCGTGATAAAAACCTGAAGAAAATAGGTATCTCAACATGAGGCAAGCCATTTATGACCAACCTACTGCTATCATTATATTAAACAGGGAAAAAAGAAAAGCCTTCCCTCTAAAATCAGGAACAAGACAAAGATGTCCATCATCACCATTTTTGCTCAACATTGTCCTCAAAACATTAGACAGAGAAATCAGCAAAAGAAATAAATAAAAGGGATACATACAGAAAAGGACAAAGTCAAACTATCATTATTTGCAAATGACACAATCCTTTACTTACAAATCCCAAAAGACTCCTACAATTCATAAATTCAGCAGTGTAGGAGGATATAAAATAAACACACAAAAATCAATAGCATTCCTATACAGTAATAATAAACATATAAACATACTGAAAAAGCAATTAGGAAAAAAATACCATTCACAATGGCATAAAAAAATTAAATACTGAGGTATTAACCTAACTAAGGAAGTGAAAGACCTCTACAGTGAAAATTACATTACCCTGAAAAAGAAAATCAAGAAGGATACCAGAAAATGGAAAGCTATCTCCGTTTCTGGATAGGCAGAACCAACATAATCAAAATGGCCATGTTTCCAAAACTGATAGATAGATTTAATATAATTCCAATCAATACCAGTGTCATTTCTCACACAGCTAGAGAAAGCAATCCTAAAATTTATATGGAATCAGAAGGGACTCAAAATAGCAAAAGCAATCGGTAGGTAACAAAAGCAAAACCAACGGAATCACAATCTCACACTTGAAGATATACTATAAAGCTACAGTGATTAAAACAGCATGGTACTGGCACAAAAACAGACATGTGGATTAATAGAACAGAAGAGTAAAAGAAGAAAAAACCCCAGGCACATACGCTATTGGAGCTTTGAACAAAGGACCCTGAAACACACACTGAAACAAGGGAGGAGAAGAGAATGGGGAAAAATTAAATATTATGTACAGGTACTTAAGAAATATTTACAGGTGCAAATTCCCTATGATAAATGTGATCATTAAATATGGCAAACCTAAACTAATAAAAATAAATAAATAAAGATACTAGAGGAAAGATAGCCTCTTTAATAAATGGTGCTGGGAAACTTGGATATCCATATGCAGAAGATTGCATCTAGACCTACACATCTCACCATATGCTAAACTAAAATGTAAATGGATCAAAGATATAAATGTTAAAACAGGAACAATATTCTACAAGATAAAATACGTACAATTCTTAAAGACATAAGGCATAGGCAACAACTTTCTGGACAGTATCCCAGTGGCATAAGAAATACTATCAAGAATCAACAAATGGGATCACATCAAATTAAAAATCTTCTGCACAGTGAAGGAAACAATCAACAGTGTGAAGAGACAATCTACAGTATGTGAAAAAATTTTATCAGCCATTCCAAGGACATTAGCACTACCATCAGGAATATATAAAGATCTCAAAAAATTTAGGCTCCTCAAAATAAAAGACCCAATCAAAAAATGAGCAACCAAAATGATCAGGCATTTCACAGCAGTACAAATGGCCAATAAGCACATGAGAAAATACTGACCATCACTGACCATTAGAAAAACAAATACAAATATAAAAACAGTGAGATACCATCTTATCTCAGAAAGAAGGGCTGTCATCAAAAAGTCTAATAATTACAGGGCCAGGGATATAGCTCAGTGGCATAAGCACCTGCCTGGGAAGTGCAAGGTCCTGAGTTTGATACCTGGTACCAAAAAAAAAAAGTCTAATAATTAAAAATGCTGGAAAGGATATGTGGGAAAAAGAACTTTTCCAGGTTGTTGATGAGAATTTAAGCTACTTTGACCACTATAAAAATCATGTACAAAGGCCTCAAAAAACTAAAAATAGAAATTCTAATGATCTAGCATAGCAGTTGATTGATTGTGTCAATTTGAGAAGTTTAGAAGCTTAACTAAATCAGCTCAGCAATTCTACACCTTAGGGTGTACAGGAACTATCCTAGGGTGGCTCATCACTCAGATGATATAAAAGGGAAATGAGGAAGGACAGAGGGGCTTCCATTCTTCGGAGGAGCGCATCTTTGCCTTCAGCTTGGATGTCATCTCCTGGCTTCTAGTGCAGACTCTTTAGCTTCTGCCTTGGATCCTTCAGCCTTCTAGCATAGACTCATCAACCTTCTGTTGTAGACCCATCGGCCTTCTAATATGGCTTGTACTGAACACTGCAGTGAACTCCAGACCTTAGACTGAATCCTTCCATCTCCAGTGTGCAGATACTCTTTGTACGCTTCCACATCCGACTCTGTGGCTGACCATCGTAAGCTAATCTTGTAATTTCTCATACATTTGCATATCTTATGTTATATCTGTTTCTCTAGTAAAACCCAACTGATACACTTAGTCATCCCTCTTTTAAGTATCCTTCTTCCCAAAAGAGTTAAAATCACCATATTAGAAGGATACATACCCACATTTATAGCAGCACAATTTATGACAGCTAGATCTTTGAAACACATATACGTCCATTAACACATGAATGGATAAGGAAAATGTGGTATGTATACATGATGAAGTACTACACTGCCATAAAGAAAGATAAACTTGAGGCATTCATAGGTAAAGGGGAGGCAACCCGAAAATATGTTAAATGAAGTAAGTCAGGCACACAAGCTCAAATATCAGCTGGTTTGTCTTACATGAGCAATAGAAAATATATACATATAAATATATACATGAAGAACAAAATAGAAGAGAAATAGGAAATAAATTCAAATACCTCCTCACTTATTTCATTGTTTTAAAAATATTTTAATATATACACTGATTTGTTTCACTTATACTACTAGTTTATCTTAGATCACTGAAAAGTTTTGCTACTATTTCTTTTTTCTAAGAATCTTTTTGGTCCCTATCTTATGAGTAACTACATCAAAGATAATGACACACAGTGTATTAACTATTGTTATTTTCTTATTATTTTGTTATGAAATTTAGTTTTATTTTTTCATAAAATAAAATAAAGTTAATGCCCAATTTCTCCAACAAAACATTTGCAGAAAAAACTAAAGCTCTTCTTTTTTTTCTCTGGGTTTTTTGGTAAGACCTTAAATGTCTTAATTTCCACTTGGTCTTAAAATTCTTGTTGATGATACGTTTCTCTAATGTTTTTTTCAATTCTCACTTCTACCACAATACACATCGTCTAGATCCTGAGGTGTAGGCTGTGCTGGGTGAGAAAAGGACATTCATACAGGGCACAAACCAAGTGCTACAGGTTTGCAAACAATCCAGGGGTCTCAGCTTGCACAGAAAGGTAAAAAAATGGCAAAACTCTGGAAAATAACTGCAATAATCATCTCAATATAATTATATTATATTATATTATATTATAGCAATCTGATTCAATACATACAAAATTTTATTTGCATTGAGTGAAGAATTGGCTTTTATGCTTATCTTCTTTTAAAAACAGCCTTTTGTAGAAATCAAAATAGATCAACATGATCTTCTACAACTTCCCTTAGGCATAAAAATGCAACATCTACCACTCTGACTGCCAGAATGTCAATCACAGCCCAGAGTCTGGCAAAGAGCAGTTCTCCATACATGAATTAGAGGACTTAGAGGTGCATGATGTTTGCAAGCAACTATGTACGGAGCACAGTACAGCCATCTAAAAGTCTCATCATGAAACAAGGCATATTAAACTGAAACAAGTTAAGAATCACAAAACAGACTAAAAGTACTATCCATAAAACTGGAAAAGCTGAGTTCCACCCACCTCTGCTATCCCACATCAAACAAATCAAAAAACTTCAGGGAAACTGTCTCACACGCAACAAAATAAAAAAATAGATGAACTGAACAACATCAAATTTAAAAACACTGGGCGCAAGAGGGGAAAAAAGTTTAAAAACATTTATTCTTTGAAGGCACTACCAACAAAGTGATAAAAAGTCCATAAGATGAGAGAAAACATTTGCAAATATTGTATTGGTCAAGGTATTAATATGTAGAAGTATAAAGAATTCCAACTCAATAACAGTAACAACAACAATAACAAAATACATATTTTAAATGGGCAAATGATTTATACAGAAATTCCACCAAAGATCTAATGAATCTCTATTATTAAAAAAAAAAAAAAAGTACTGCGAGAGGATGTGCAGAAACTGGGATTCTTGTGTCCCACTGTTGAGAATGTAAAGTGGCACAGCTGCTATGGAAGACATGACTGCCATCCGGTGCAACAATTCTACCTCTGCCCACGTACCTCACAGAACTGACAGCAAGCGTTCAAATAAACATTTGTATACTCATAGCATTATTATTGAAATTAGCCAAAAGGCAGAAGCAACACGAATTTTCATCATCTGATGAGCAGATAAACAAAATGTAGTACACACATGTCATAGAATATTTATTCAGACTTAAAACACTAAGATATCCTGACACATGCTATAACTTGGATGACTCGTGAGGACATTATGCTATAGGAATTAAGGCAGTCACAAAACCAAACCAAAATAAAACAAAAGAAAAAATAAATACTCTATTCTATGTCATTATTTATGATGTCCCTAGAGTAATCAAATTCAGAGACAGAAAGAATGACATTAGCCAGGGATTGGGAGAGGTGGGTGCGGTGTGTTACTGATTAATGTTCATGAAGGGTCTACTTGGGAAGGTGAAGTTCTAGAATTGCACAGTGGTAACTGTGCATAATATGAATACACTTTATGTCACTAAGCCCTACACTTAAGAATGGCTAGAAGCACAGAAATTATGTTGTATGTACTTTAATCAAAGTATGTATGTACTTTCCCCAAAGTAAAAACACTGCATATTTACATACATGTGAAAAAAGTAACTCTTCATTCAGTTTCAATGTACTAACTTATCCTAACCCCTCAATAAAATAGTGATATTTACCCAGACTTGTCCTAAATTCAAATCCCCAATGGATGCTCACAATTTTGAACAAAGTATCAGTATTTTTCCCAAAAGATAAAAACTTACTTACCTATTCTGGATTCCAGTACATTCATTATTTAGTCCAAGAAAAATAGAGCTCGAAATCATTCCTACTGCAATTATTAACAACAGCTTTTTAAAAATGAAAATGAAAAAGCAGTTTTAATTAAAGGTAAAAATTTTTACACAGATTGAAACTTTTACATATTCTATTAAAACTTTTACATAATCTATATGGATACATGTGAAATATCTCCATTGAAATAAACACTTTAAATGATTTTCCAGAGTCCCTGGGAGAATATAAAACACTGAGCATTATAAGTCTGCTTCATAAATTAAATTGAAAATGAAGTTATCTGTTGCTGGAGGATCTGAATGAACACAGTGCAGGGCCAGGGATATAGCTTAGCGGCACAGCTCCTTGGCTGGCAAGCGCAAGGTCCTGTGAACTCCCAGGGAGTTCAACTCCCAGTACCAAAAAAAAAAGGAAGAACACAGTGCAGACTACTGGAAAATCTAAGGTTCTTTCCACTGTCCCGTCTAGTATTGCTGGCTCAGGGCCAGTTCAGCCACTGGACCCACAAATGCTACACTTCTCTGGAGAAGTCATTTTAAAAATAAAATAAAGTCCATGTGCCTAACAGTTTTGATTTGAAGTAAATTCATAACTTTTCTGACAGTAAACATGTAGTTTTATACTTCAAAAAGTTCACAAACAAGATATCTTATGCTTATCATTAGAAATAAATACCATTTCAGGGCTGGGAATGTAGCTCCTGGGCAGAATACCTGTTTGTCATGTGCAAGACCCTGGGATCAATGCAAATTGAATTCTACAGCACTGCAAATTGAATAAAAATTACAATTTTTAAAGCACACAAGAAATTTCTAACAAGGAAATTTTGCATAAGAAGTAGGAGTGAGGAGTGAGGTGGGCCCCATCTATCCAACCTATGGGGCGTCCCTGCCTATATGAGAAAGTGTCACCACAGCATCCAGCCACCTTTTTGGGGGCACCCAAGTGCTTCCATTATCTGCTTCTCCATCACTGCTTCTCCATCAACCTCAGCCAGGAAGGCTGTGGTCCTCATGGCCAGTGGAGCTGCTGCTGTTTGGTATCCTCACCTGTCTTCACATACTCAGTCTGTGTGGAGAGCTCCCGAGGCGACGGGACAAACATCACTTTTGATTTGAGGATAAAAACTGTCTTAAGGATTCTTCAATTAGCAAGGATTACATTATGATATAATTTTTGAGGAAACCTACTAAAATTATTCATGGGCTGAATACAAAGGTAAGAAAATGGTAATCTAAAGGACACAAAATATTCTGATATATATCTTGGAAACTTCAAAGTTAAAAAATACTCAATACTAATATAAAGACATGAAGTAATTTGTGAAGGGTATATTTGGGGAAAAGCAAGCCAAAGTAAAAACAGAATGAAGATCTATAAAGACCAGTTTGTGAAAAACTTTATCTGCAAAGGACATTATTGTAATGTTTCACTTACAAGATGTCCTTAAATCCCTTTGCTTAGAGGAGAAAAACCTCCTTTACCATGGCATATTTTTACTACCCTCAAAATATACTCTACTGCAGCAGACCTAAAGTACACATGACTATCAGCAGGCAGCATGCACATATATATAAGAGTCTGTAGTTTCACAGAGCTTAAGTTTTAAGACTACTTGGTCTTTTAAACTAGACATTCTGCATTCCTTTTTTTTTTTTCCAATTTTTTGCATCCAAACTTGAGAACTTCTCCTATCAAAGTCACTGTTACTATCATGAAGTCTACTACAGGCTTCAAAGTTCTACAATTTTTAGTTGGTTTTCCAACCTTGAAAAATGATGAATCCCATGACATTCTACTTTTATAAGACGCATCCATATTACACTGTCTTGCATAAGGAATAGGAAAACCACTAGGTAAAAGAAATGCTGAACAACAGAGTAAATGACATCATTTAGGAGATGTGGGAATCTGGTATCCAGCATGTTTTCAACCCAAGGATCACTGTAAAATATGTTCTGAGTGATTTTTCTAGCTTTCGCTAAAAAAATATGAATCCTAAAAATACAGTAGTTCATGGTCATAATCTCAGCACTTTGAAGCCGAGGAGGCTGGAAAAATGAGTTTGAGACCAACCTGATGTAACCTGGATTACACAGGGAGACACTGTCTCAAAAAAAAAGAGTAAGAACCCATTGTAGTTTGTCATATGCTGGTAGAAATGATGACAGTGAGAGATTAACGCTAAAGTTTTCCAAATTAATTTGATCAGAAAACCCTTAACACATTAAAAATGAACACTACATTTTCCTATACAGATAATCCAATCATTCCAAGAGCTTCCTAATAGAATTTCTAAGTACAGGCTAAGTCTGTTTCATGTAAATAACTAGTTCAAGCCATAAGACAATAGATATAATATTTATTGGCAGGAAATCATAAAATATTTAGTAATTCTACATTCAAAACTTAGATTTAAAAATATACACAGGCTTAAAAGTTATGGTGTATTTGCAAGTCAGTAAACTGCTGCCCATGGGCAATGAGGGACAGCCAACTATTTTTGTTCTGTCTAGAGTTAAAATGGCTTTTATGCTTTTTAATGTTAGAACAAAAATGTACAGAATAATATTTCTTGCAACATGAAATTCATTTGAAATTTAAATGTCATTGTTAATAAGTGGTTTGGGGGGGGGAGTACTAGGAATCGAACTCAGGACCTCATGCTTGCCAGGCAGGCACTGTGCTGCTGAGGTACATCCCTGACTCCCATTAATACAGTTTTATTGAAATAAAGACATGTTCATTTGTTTATATATTAGTTCTGGCTTTCACACTAAAATAGCAAGGTACACTACCTGAGATGAATCCCATAAAAGGCCTGTGAACCCTAAAATATTTACTATGTAGTCTGTTATGAAAAAGGGATTGTTGCTGGGCGTGGTGGCACATGCCTGTAATCCCAGCACTTGGGAGGCTGAGGCAGGAAGATTGTTGCGAGTTCAAGGCCAGCATGGGCTACAAAGTGAGCTCAAGGCCAGCCTGAACTCCATAGCAAGATCCTGTCCCAAGAAGAAAAAAAAAAGAAAATGAAAAAGGGGGATTGTTTACTAGTAAGCTAACCATTCAGTATTTACAAATCTGAGTAAGAGTCGTTTTACTAAGCTCAGGGAGATAAAAGGTCTTAACCTTATTTCACAGACTTCTGCTTCTCTGAACTTTGCTGTGTTCCTTATGTGGAAATAAGCTCACTGGTGAGGCAAGGAGGCTGCACATAATTCCTGAAGGCACTGGGCCTGGTGGTTGCATCATAGGGAAGCCTAGAATCAAACCACTCACAGTCCAGGGGTATTGAAGTACGTGTTTTTCAATCATGCCCTGCTTAGAATTACCACATATGTGACTTAGATAAGACACTTATAAAATGCTTCTACAGGGAAATAAGAAAAACCTAGTGCATAAATTACAAAAATCAACTCATTACATCATCTCACTGTTCAACAATGGGTAACCCTGGTTGACGGATTTAATACTTATGACTTGTTGCCAAATGGCATCAAATCTCTTCCAAAGAATAAAATTTTGTCCTTGATTGACAGGACACAAAAGTACCCACATTCTCACAGAAATGCCTAATCACAATAACCACAAGCATTTGGAGTAACTGACAGTATGACTTAAACAGGGACACAGGCTCTAGATACATTTGGAAACTGACAAACTTCAAAATAAGAAAGTTATGGTGCATAAGTCCACAGTATTTCACTAGAACTAACATACTATTAGAATTCAATAGAAACTCAATGACTGATGATAAAAATAACAATCCCGAAGAAATCTAAAATAATTTCTTTATAGATGATGGAAAACGAGGTGCAAGAACTAGTGATCTGTGACATAGGTATGACAGCTACTCATGACAGTCAAGTTATTGATGTAGGACTGCCAAAGAAACTAGTCAAGCACACTTCTGGGTATGTCTGGAGGTGTTTCCAGAGACAGTTAGACCACGAAGGCAGTAAATTCATCAGTGGACTAACCCATTCAAGAGATCGTAATTTGATGTTAGTATTGAAAGGCAATGGAAACAGACTGGGCCTGGTTGGAGGGTTTGATCTTGGCTGCTATATATATTCCCTGGCTCCTTCTTCAAGGTTCTTTTCTTTTCTCTTTGTCTCCAGGTTGCCATTTGACCCTTCATCTGTGACTTTTGCCTTACTTCAGGCCCAAAGTAACAGAACCAACTGATCTAAAACCTCTGTAAGAGTTCTCTAGGAGCGGCAGGGCTCCTGGGTCCGAGTTTGTGCTGGACGCATACCACCACGATTCCCAGCTGAAACACGCGCACAGAGCCAGGTAGGCCCCATCCAATTCCGGAGGCCAGGACGCAAGAACAAAGACCCCGTGGACATTACAGACTGAGTTGCTAGGCGCAGGGAGGCCCAGGGGACGGGCGGGGCGAGCAGGCTCTCAGAGCCAGCTGAGCAGGCTCCCCCAGCCCCCCACGCCTTGCACCCAGACAGCGAGTTCTCCGGGAGCGGCAGGGCTCCTGGGTCCGAGTTTGTGCTGGACGCATGCCACCACGATTCCGAGCTGAAACGCGCGCACAGAGCCAGGTAGGCCCCATCCAATCCCGGAGAGAAGGACGCGAGAACAAAGACCCCGCAGACATTACAGACTGAGTCGCTGTGGTGGCAGAGAGGAGATCCTGACTGAGTGGCCCAGGGACCTCTCCAGCTGAGGGCTGGGCGAGCAGGCTCTCTGAGCCAGGCGAGCAGACTCTCTGAGCCCCATGCACCCTGCCCTAAGAGAGCAAGTACTCCAGGAGCTGCAGGGC